AATGTTTGTCGGAGTGTACGAATTCTGTTGTGAAATAGATTCCAACCTGAAGATATTTTGTAGGTACGGTGGATGAACAATCTGTTCAACGAACTTCAACGCATAATATATTAAAACGAGACATCTTTCAATGCAGATCTAATTCTGCACAAGAATTGAATAATTATATGATATTATTACTATACATAATCACTTCAAGGACCATTTTATTTTGAACTGTTCACTAGATATTATACCAGATAAGTCAAAACGTAACTCCGATTATTTTGATTATCAGATTTTGTTATCATTTATACTCAAAACAGGAAATTGGTTATTTTTTTGTTCTCTTTCAAAGTTTGTAGTTAATACTCAAAGGATTTACACATTTTGATAATAAAGTTAGAAAAAAACGCCCTTCACACTCCAGGTAATTATAACTTGATTTTAACCATCGTTTTTCGTACTAGTCCTGAGGAAGTCGCAAAGACGAAACACTGGTTAAATATAAGTTCTCTAATAATTATCTGGAGCATAAAGGTCGTTTTTTTTCTAACTTTATTATCAAAATCTGCAAACTGTTTACGTTCTGTAAAACATGTTTATGTAATCAATAAAAACACTAACTAAAAACAATATATTTAGCATTTCATGTTCATTGAAAGTAAAAGTAAATACGATATATTTGTGGTTTTTGTACATTTGTAATTAATATCTGATGATCGATTTTCGTGTATCTATTATAAGACAAGAGCATACTTATAGAATAAAGACAGACACGTGTGACTAACGTATTCGTATTATTCAATGATCTGTTGGAGTGTAAGTACTGTTTTTACGAAGTAATTGATCATTCAAGTTTCATAGGTAACCGAAATTTAACGAAACTATAAAGGTAACACTCTTCCCATAAGTGTGTCGAAACTAGGCTTACTTACACGGCTCACTAAGTATTTTCTTGAACGATTTGCGGAACTCGATGTTGTAAATGGTATAGATGACCGGATTGACACAGCTGTTGATATAACCCAGCCACGTTGTGAACAAGAAAACTGTGACACCAGGTCGACAGTCGCTGCTCTTTAGTTTGATGCAGATTGCGTCCATGATGTTACACGTAAAGAAGGGAACCCAGCAGATTAAGAAGACACCTAGTGGCAAAAAATAACAGTTGATTAAATGTAAACAATACGAATATCCATTTATTTATTTTCAATATTAAGTATGAAAAATAACACCCACTACATGCGATGAAATACATTTAACACCGCGAAAGAGAATACCAAATTAATAATCGGAGTTACTTTAATTGTTGCAAGATATTAAATCTAAAGAAGCGAAATAAGTAGCACAATAGCACTTAAAAGGTAATGGAAAATAATGTATAACAAATGCACCTGAAGAGTTAGCAAACTTACAACGTTAATTCAGTAAAGTGTGAGATCAAGGTGCTCAAGCCAACAGCGTCACGAGTCACGCTACCATTTGCTATCTTCGATCGTTTGTGGTTCCGTTGGTTACAAGTAATTGTACAGTACAAAGAGGTCTAATTAACACTATATATATATATATATATATACA